GTTGAGAAATTATCACTGTAAGTGTTATGTGTTTTTGTGTTATTCTTGTTCTTGATTTTCCTTATTTATATTCTTTTCTTTTCTTTTTTATGAACTTTAAAATCCTACAATTTTACGATTCCAATTTTACCCCCATTTTTTATTTTACGTAAAATCTCAATTTTTACTAATGTACTCACAATCACTTAAGGCATAGAGAAAGTGAACTCCTATCACTTTTGACTCCTATTACTAATCACAGAGTGTTTGATCTTGCTTTTTGTAGGATTGCTCTACCACATTCTGTGAGGCTTGCTTGTTGCTTCATCATATTTATAGTTCCTTGATACAAAAGTCTTTTCTTTATCTTGGTTTGTTCGGGAGATTCTTCTTTTGATCTTCTTTGATTTAGGAGATCTTATGATCATACTTTTACAACTATGGCAAGTAATAGAAATTGGAGGGATTTTAACCGAGCTTGTTACTTTTTATAGATGGGTGCATAAAAGGGGAGTTATTTGAGATTGAAATGTGGTATTTTAAATTCAATTATCTTGTTTGGTTGAAAGGATCATTTGTATGTGGTATATCATTACAAAAACCCAAAATTACTTTATCACCCCCTCTTCATCTTCTCCGTGACTAATCTTCTTCCCCTTCTCTTCTTTTTCGCCAAAGAAAATGGTCAAAGGCCCCAATTCATCCTTCCGCCCCTTTTCTTCTTCTCCGCCAAACAAAATGGCCTATGGCCCCCATTTCATCCTTCCACCTCTTCTCTTCTTATTCGCCAAACAACGGCCACCACCCAACCAATCCAGATCCAATACACTTTTCGAAACACCAATTTCAAATGGAAAGGAATTAATCATATTTGCCCCAAACTTATTCCATCTTATCATCAAATGAGAGGTGACAATTGCATTCTCAGCCTAACCATCACCGTTCGTATAGCGGATCGCACGTTGATAGACCATTAATTGCACATTTTTTTACCCCTATTCTTGAGCCGTTTGAGATGTTGATTCTCGTGTTTTAAGCCGATATCACGCTAGGTTGTGCGTTTATGTCATATTTCAGGACTCAGCGTTGGCATCGAGGCGAAGAAACGAGAATCGGGTCGAAAGGAGCACGTTTGGGTTGAAGTGTGCTGGAGGAGCAAAATACCCGGCCATGATCAGAAATACTCGGCTGGGTATTATATGGAGCAGACTGGGGAAAATATGTTTTGGGCATCTGAGAAGCAGAAGGGGGCCCGGGCATTAATCATAAATCCCCCGTCGGGTATTCGTGACCCTGACCGCGGATTAATCACCTGTCCCCGACGGTGCGTTTCAACAATCCCCGGTCGCCACCTAAAATACCCGACCGGGTATTCTGACCGGGGATCGCGAACACAGGCTGTTAAAAGCCCATTTTGTGCGTTTTTGCAAGGGAGAGCTGGGTTTTGGATCCCAAACACCCAAGGGACGAACCAAAGAGAGAGAGGGCAATTTGAGGGCATTCTTGGAGTGGAACTCGAGGATTTCTTCGCCTAGGAAGCTCGAGGAACAAGCCCAGACTTGAAGACTGATCCTCTGAAGATTCTTACTGTAGTATCTCTCTTCTCTATGGAGTAACTTCCCTTCACTTAGGTTTTGAGGAACCCTAGCCATGTTTGTTTTATTGGATGATTGTATGAGTACTCCTACTTGAGAATCTTGAGTTCATATTCAATCTATGCATTTTTTTCATGATTCAATTCTGCTTTAGTGGAGATTATTGATTCTGCTTTGATCCTATGAGAGCGAATACCTGATTAGGTCAATAGAGCACCTTAGATTGATAGTAGTGGATCGATTGCTTTAGTCGAGGGTCGATTCACTGCTTTGTATCGATTGAGAACCTCTTTCGATAGAGGGATTCTAGTTTAGAACGCCTTGATCAGTTGTTCTAGAAAAGGATATGTCCCTCTAGGCAATACTTCAAGAGGGCCTTATTCCTTTAGTCGACAATGTCATGCTTAAGTGTGGGGGGGATGTTCGAGTATGTATGCGGGTGAATGTTTAGTTTTTTGTGTGCTTGGAGCCTAGTCCACTGTCCAAATTTTTAAATTTGAGGGCTCCAAGTACGTGTTTCCTTGCAAATTGCCTGCTCGGTATGCTTTGAATTGACAGTCTCTATAGTAATGTGCAACCTATGGAGGTAGTGTAGCACTATGGAGGATGTTGAAGTATAATATTTTCCTATCTAGCTCTCTGCTGTGCCAGTTGATTTTTTGGATTAGGGGAGCTAAGACCGTTGAATTCATGTGGTAATGGTGACTCTGTTTGGATTGTGTTATGGACTTGTGTATCGAACAGGGTGCTCACGTGGAAAATGGAAAGCAGTTGGTCCTCCATGTCGAAATCATTAAATCTTAAACATGGGGTAAGCCCAACGTGTGCAGCACCGATCATTGCACAAAAATCGGGTTTTGGAAGAGATTTTAGTGATCCTTAGTGGGGTACTCCTACAAGGTGAAGCTAAGTTGTCTCTAGTACAAGTATAACTTCCACCCGTTGAACGGTTTGCCTACTTGAGGATGTGTTTTTAAGGGCACGGATAGAGCTTCTGGCCCCCCTTAATTTCATTGACCCTCCACACGAGTTGAGGAAAAGGAGTTAAAAGAAGTACTCTGGCGAGCGCCAGATGTACAAAAATTGCTCTTGCTCGACTAATAAGGGTCGACCGTGCAAAAGACTACACTTGGAACCCCGCCAAATGAAAAAAAAAATGTAAATGAAAGTGAGAAAAAGGGGTTCCAACGGTGAAATGAAGTGAAAGAGCACCCCGGTACAACGAGTCCTTGGTTATGAATGGTGTGAGTCCCTTTAATCATGAACTGACTGTCTTACTTCTACTTCTTCTCATGATCCTGATTGAAAATAGTACTCGCATTGAGAGAGATAGGGAACGTCTTAGAAGACCAGTTGACCTCGTAAGCTGCTATATGATCTAGGAAATCCTCTACCGACGATCGGGGTTGTTTTTGTTGCTATAGAGGTCTGGAGAGTTGCATTGTTTGAGTTAGGTTTGCTTGGGGACAAGCAAACGTTTAAGTGTGGGGGACTTTGATAGACCATTAATTGCACATGTTTTTACCCCTATTATTGAGCCGTTTGAGATGTTGATTCTCGTGTTTTAAGCCGATTTCACGCTAGGTTGTGCGTTTATGCCATATTTCAGGACTTAGCGTTGGCATCGAGAGGAAGAAACGAGAATCGGGTCGAAAGGAGCACATTTGGGTTGAAGTGTGCTGGAGGAGCAAAATACCCGGCCATGAGCGGAAATACCCGGCCGGGTAGTATATGGAACAGACCGGGGAAAATATGTTTTGGGCGTTTGAGAAGCAGAAGGGGCCCCGGGCATTAATCATAAATCCCCGGTCGGGTATTCTTGACCCTGACCGGGGATTAATCACCTGTCCCCGACGGTGCGTTTCAACAATCCCTGGTCGCCACCTTAAATATCCGACCGGGTATTCTGACCGGGGATCGCGAACACAGGCTGTTAAAAGCCATTTTTGTGCGTTTTTGCAAAGGCGAGCTGGGTTTTGGATCCCAAACACCCAAGGGACGAACCAAAGAGAGAGATGGCGATTTGAGGGCATTCTTGGAGTGGAACTCGAGGATTTCTTCGCCTAGGAAGCTCGAGGAACAATCCCGGACTTGAAGACTGATCATCTGAAAAATTCTTACTACAGTCTCTCTCTTCTCTATGGAGTAACGTCCCTTCACTTAGGTTTTGATAAACCCTAGCCATGTTTGTTTGATTGGATGATTGTATGAGTACCTCCTACTTGATAATCTTGAGTTCATATTAAATCTATGCATGTTTTCATGATTCAATTCTGCTTTAGTTGAGATTATTGATTCTGCTTTGATCCTATGGGAGCGAATACCTGATTAGGTCAATAGAGCACCTTAGATTGATAGTAGTGGATCAATTGCTTTAGTCAAGGGTCGATTCACTGCTTTGTATCGATTGAGAACCTCTTTCGATAAAGGGAGTCTAGTTCAGAACGCCTTGATCGGTTGTTCTAGAGAAGGATACGTCCCTCTAGGCAATTGACTCAAGAGGGCATTGTTTCTTTAGTCGAGACTCAAGGTCTAGTTAAGGATTCTCCGCATTTTGAATGAAAGTGAAACAAGTTAGAAATCATCCATCCTTAATCTGGCTAGTGGCTAGGGGGAATCATACCTAAGTGAGTTCACAACCTGTAATTAGATTAACTTTAACTGTAGTTTGTTAGAGTAGTTTTAGTTGTTCCATCTTAATCTGGTTTGCTAGATAATGAACTGAAGCTGAGTAATAGTAACTCTAGAGACCCGTGAATTCGATATTTATTACTTGAGCCACTATACTGCAGTCACTTTCATTGGTTACACTTGGCCATTGTTAGGAGTTGTGTCATAGCGAGTCACACGTACAACGAGGAGATAAAGAAAAAGATGATTGAACAAGAAGGAGGCACCAATTGAACATGCGGAGAAAGAAAGCACGATTGAGTCATCTAATAGAGGAATAAAGAAGAAAGAGAAAGGGGCAAGGTGGGAACAAAAGTGGGTAGAATGAGTTATTTCTAAATAACTCCCTGACCCACAACTATAGTGAATAACTCGGTAACGAGTTATTTACAAATAACTCATATCGAAATAACCGTTATCTAGTTTTACACCCAAAAGTGTTATTTTGGTCCAAATAACTCACAATGAGTTATTTGGACCAAAATAACTCACTATAATAACTCATCCAAATGACCCTTAGATTTCAAAGGGTAAGCCACCTTTGAGCCGAGATGTAAAGTAATAGGCCAAACTCGATTAACAAAACAACATGTGTACATGTATCCTGCCTACTCTTCTCTATTGTGTGTTTTCCTCTCAACAAGAACATTTCAATGAAGATTGAAGACGACTTGATAATAGACAAAGCCCATCTCATGAAACACTTGGGCTCTAGCAACGAGTCAAGCCCTAACACTTGAGTCCAGACGGCTGGTTCATTATTATTCTTGTTTATTGAACTTATTGTATAAGATTATTTGTCTGCTACATGTATTCTTCAATTAGTTACAAAGCAGATCTCTAACAAGGAACAAGATTTGGAATCTACAAGCTCATGGGCCAAATTGATGAATCACATGCCTCCAATCACGGAGCGTGACGGACAGTCTGGAACAAGACCACCAAAGGTCAAAGGCAACAGTTATACCTTCTGGAAAGGTTGCATGGAAGACTTCTTACAAGCCTTTGAAATGAAGGTTTGGATTAATATCAAAAGTGGACCATAGCAAGTTGAGAACATCATTGGGAGTTGGTCTGAAAAATATATGATAAGTTTACAAATCAGTACTAAAACTAAGCATATTCTAAGTGTGCTATTGGAAGAGAAGAATATGGCAAATTAGCCATGTACGAAATCGCAAAGGAAATCTTGAAAACCCTAGATACTACGTATAAAGGTAAGTATGAAATTAAAGATATCACGATTAGAATACTAGTTAGGGAATCTGAACTGTTTAAAATGAGTGAAAATGAAAATATTACTCAAATATATGAAAGATTCAAAAATATAGTAAGTGGATAATAAATCTTGGAAAAGTTTACACCAATCTAGACTTGGTCAGTAAGATTTTAAACTCTTTACCAAGGTCTTGGAGAGCAAAGGTAACGACTGTAAAATAATCAAAAGATCTTGTTAATTTTGACTTGACCGAGTTAATATACCCACTAAATGCTCATAAAAGTATGTTAAGAATCGAGGATAATGATAAACCTCGCAAGAATAAAGATCTAGCTCTCAAATCTCATTTGATAGAAGATGAAGAAGAAATAGAAGAGCAAATTGCTATGATTTCTGAGCAACTAGGTTATATAAGATTTAAGAGAAATAAAAAATCCTATCCAAATAAATCCCTAAGTGACATTAAATGGACAATAAATCTTGAACTAGAAATGATGAACAAAAATTCAGTAAATGTCGAGAAGGGTATTGTTACTTGTTTCAGGTGTGGAAAACTAGGACACTTAAGATCTAATTGTCCTAATAGAAGGTTTGATAAGGAAAGGGCGATGGCTATTACCTAGAGGTGTAGTGATGAAGAATCAGATGAATCATACTAAAAAATGAGCACAGAAGGTATATGCTCTCATTGATCAAGATCATCTAGGACTGATGGCTAAGTAAACACCAAACATACAAGTACTTTATGAACCATTTCATGCATGCTTAGATGATAACTCAGATGATTCACTATGCCACTCGATAAAGTCTCAAAAAGAGGGGAAATCACATTCATGATTTCAATTACAAAGTTATGCAATGTGAGTTGAAATTAAATGACCTAAAGGAAAGTGTGAAAGAACTAGAAAATTGTATGCAAACTCCAATCAAACGTATCATTGAACTAGAAGCAAATAGTCATAGACATAATACAACCATGTTAGAAATTCTAGCTCGAACAAGAAGTGTGGAAAATACAGCAAAGTATGAAACCACATAAGAACTAAACGAGAAGTCAAGTGTTTTGGGTGTCATAAATATGAGCATTATAAGAATGAGTGTTACACACGTTTGAACTGTGAGTTCTGTCGTAGTCGAGAAAACCACAATAATGAAGTACATTTGATATTGGAACAAAAATAAAAATAGGAAAACCCAAACAACAATGGATTCCCAAAGACAAACCGACTGCCACCTGCTTGCTTTAATCACATGACAGAAGATGGGATCAAATTCAAACGCACTATCACCAACGAGGGGGACAAGTCACATTTGGATAAAAAACATCAAGGGATCAATCACAGGTATTGGCAATATCTGATCCTCAAATAACACTAAGCTATCTGATGTGTTGTTAATAGAAGGTCTAAAGTTCAATCTACTATCGGGTAAATGCCACATTTGGTCACTAAGATTGCTAAATCGTGTCATGTTTAGTCACTAGAAAAATTTAATATCAATTTTGGTCAGACTAACCGCCTCGAGGCTAGCATTCTTACAATTAGCTTTACTCAAACGCTACAAGGCTAAGTGGGCTTCACTTTTCAACTTGTTTATGGGCCTTTACTAACAACTAGGATTTAGGTTCAATAGATTCACCCTATGGCCCTAGAGGTCCATATAGTGTTTGTCTACGTCTTAAGTCACCAATTCTACGAGGTCTCCTTCTTAAGTCCCCAACTCTACAAGTAGGGGTGGTCATGTGGGTGGATATCCGTGGTTTGACATTGATCCAACCATAATCCAAATCGTAGAGGGTGGATCGTGGATCAAAAAATTTATACTCACTCTTATTCGGGGTGGATGGTGAGCATTGACGTAGTCAGAAAAATATTTTTGTGGGGTCCAAACATAATTAAATTTAGTGAGTGCCTCAACAATAAACATATTATCTTGTGTAGAGGGGTCCAAGGTTCAAAAGTTACTAACCCCACCTTAAAAATTCATCATTTCCCATGTGTATTCATTTTTCAAGTGGGATCCATGGTCCCCACATCCCCTCACCTAGCTCCGCCAATGATGGTGACTAGATTGTGGGTCATGCGATTGACCCGCATCCCACTTTCACATGATAAGGAGGTGTTTCTAGGTTACACTATAAAATATTCATCATATTTCTTAACTGCCACAAAATAACCATCGACTTCATGGTCATTCGATATTAGGCTCAAATTATAAATTGTTAATGGCATTAAAGTCATTAAGAGCTACAATGTTTTCAACACAATTCATTAATAGAGTAATAAAGATTTCATATTTCTGCGTAAGAATTGAAATTCAAGCCTTGCCTCTAGGAATATGTGGTTAGTGACTTTATTTTCCTTGTCAACGAATATTTCATTAAAAGTTGGTACAAGTAAAAGTCTTTGAAACACTATGATGAAACTTTGTCATCCAGTCACCATTTATCAAAAATTTGTCCAGCCTTTTAGCAATTGGATTACCTTTCTGCTTGTTCCACCAAGTATACCAAGACCCCAGAACCTTATGATCAAACAACATCATTCTAGAAATCCAATCCCGGAAGTTCCAATGTATTCTAATTTATAACATTTGTATTAGATGCCTCCTGCACTTCAGTAATGGCATTGAAGTCCTCATGTAAAGACAAGGTTCTCCCACTACTATTCCCAAAATTAGTTCCTCATACAACTTCTTGCGATCAGTAGTCTTGTGAGGGCTATAAATAGCAGTAACAAGACAACCTTCATCTCCAGCAACCCTCACTTGTATAAAGTGTTCCCCCATATTTACTTCACTGACTTGAATACTAGGCTTCCACAATAACCAGACCCTCCCGGAAGAAGAGTGAGCATAATTATCTAGATGAACCCATTGTCTAAACTATTTATTTAGTATATCAGGGCCATTAATTGCAAGTACCCTTGTTTCTAAGATAGCTACAAGATCTATACCATTACTATTTAATTGTTTATTTATATATTTATGTTTCTTAGGGGTATTAAATCCCTTGAGATTCCAACTCAAGATCTTCATTTACCTCGACACTTCCCCTTCCCTTTCCTGGGAGGAGATGAAGGAGCAACCATATCTTGACCTCGCGCATTCAAAGGTACCCTAGCAACCACTACCGGGTGAAAGAACTTGAACTCCACTTTCCCCATTAGAGGTCCAGGACTGCATGTTATTCCTAACCACAAGCTGAAAACCATTTTCATCCATTACACCCTTGCCACGATCCCCAGCCTAAGGAAGAGTCTGAGCAATGACAAGTTGAGCAGCCCCTGGACTGGAAATAGAGACAACAATAGTTGATTGAGATGAGACTTCACTAGACGAAGCTTGAGCCGTCTCAACAACCATTAGAGAAGTAGTTTTGATACTGATTTCCACTAATCCCAAGCTTGAGCCTTCTCTCCTCAAATCGCTGACCGCCCTCTGTCGACGTCCGCCTCCTCTCTCCCGCCGCTACCCTCGACCTCTCCTTCTCTCCTCGAATCGCCGACTGCCCTCCCCTGACGTCCGCCTCCGATCGCCCCCCGCTGCCCTTAACCTCTGCTCCTCCTCCTCCTCCTCGAAGCGCCGACCGCCCTCCCCCTGACGTCCGCCTTCGCCGCTCCTCGACATCGCCGGCGGTCGCCTTCTCCACGCGAGATTTGAGACTCGAGAAGATTTGAAATGGAGGAAGAAAGGAGAGAGAAGGAATGAGATAAGGTTTGTGCGTATGCGGTGGGTCTGTGCCTCTGTGGTTACTTATTTTAATGAATTTTAAGGAATATTATTTAAACTACAACGTTTTGGAAGAAAAAGGGTATTTTTCCGTTATGCGGTTAAAAGAACCTAAAACCAAAAACCGACCGGTCGGTTGGTGACAGTAAGACTATTTCCGGTCGGTTGTCGGATGGTCTGGGACGGGTTTCAGCTAACCGATAACTGATTTTTTGGTTTTCGGTTAAACCAAAACTAACCGACCTCCAGGCCTATCTCTCACAATGCCATCCTCCATTCTCGAACACCCAATTACAAGAATCGTTGTGCGGAAGATGAAACATGAAAAGATTTTCACTCAGAAAGGTGTCAAGAACCTTACCATCACGGCCCCAAAATCTTTGCGCCCACCGACGGATCTTGAACAAGCTCGAAGGCTTCGATAGGAATTGCCCAACCAGCGAGTTCCGCCAACGAACTAACACCTTCATCACGAACTGCCTTACAAATAACAAGATCCCCATCAACTAATGTCGGAGCAACATAACTCAATCAATTATCCTTACTCACTCCAAACAACTGTGCCCAATTTGCATGAGGCGGATCGATCGGAATAGCTATACCCCAATCAGAAAAACTAGAGTTCACCCAGAAGAGAGAGAAAGAAGAGAGAAGAGAGAAGGGAGAGCGTCCCTCTCTTTTTTATTTTCCAACAAGACTTCACCGTGAAGAAAATGTCCAAGCCAAGATATGCAAGGACATATTCGTACTTTGCAGCCACGAAACAGGAAACGACATTTCAGCCAAAAAAAAACAATGAAAAAATAGATTTTTTTCAAAATTCAAAGTAAAACACTAAAACCCGAAAAGCTTGAGAATTAATTAAAAAAACACGCAAACGCGCCCGAAGCCCTCGAAAATGAAAATCAAATAAAATCCCCACTTTCCACTTCCAGACGTTCTTTTCCGTTTTCCAATTTCACCCCTCCTCTTACCTCACTCCATCGCAAACCCGCCCTCCGCCCCCCCTTCTCAGTTTCACTGCCGTAACGGAACAGCTGTGCTGATCGGAAGACTTTCAAAACTGTCTCCGTCCACCACCCCCGCCGCCATTGTAGTGAGATGCGATGGCCGCTATCCGCTACCGTGCTCCTCCGCCCGACCGGGCGCTGCCCAATCATACTCCTGAAGACGAAGAGCCTTTCAACATCATTCCAGTCCACAACCTCTTAGCTGACCACCCTTCCCTCCGCTATCCTGAGGTCCGTGCCGCTGCGGCCGCGCTTCGTGCCGTTGGGAACCTCCGGCGCCCTCCGTACGTGCAATGGCACCCTTCCATGGACCTGCTCGACTGGCTGGCCCTCTTCTTCGGCTTCCAGCGCGACAACGTCCGCAACCAGAGGGAGCATCTAGTGCTACACCTGGCCAACGCGCAGATGCGGCTCACTCCACCGCCGGAAAACATCGACGCTCTCGACCCTGGGGTTTTGCGGCGGTTCCGCCGGAAGTTGCTCAAGAACTACACCAGCTGGTGCTCTTACCTCAACAAGAAGTCGAATATCTGGATCTCGGATCGGTCAAACCCGGACGTCCGGCGGGAGCTTTTGTACGTTTCTCTTTACCTTCTAATTTGGGGTGAGTCGGCCAATCTGCGGTTTATGCCCGAGTGTATCTGTTTCATCTTCCACAACATGGCTATGGAATTGAACAAGATTCTTGAGGACTATATTGATGAGAACACTGGGCAGCCTGTGATGCCGTCTTTCTCTGGGGAGAATGCCTTTCTCAACTCTGTTGTCAAGCCAATTCATGAAACAGTGAAGGCCGAGGTGGAGAACAGTAAGAACGGGACTGCGCCTCACACATCCTGGAGGAATTATGATGATATCAATGAGTACTTTTGGAGTAGGAGGTGTTTTCAAAAGTTGAAGTGGCCAATTGATCTTGGAAGTAATTTCTTTGTGATTTCGAGTAAGCAAAAGCATGTGGGCAAGACTGGGTTTGTAGAGCAGAGGTCGTTTCTTAACTTGTTCCGAAGCTTTGACAGGTTGTTTGTGATGATGATCTTGTTCCTTCAGGCTGCGATTATTGTGGGGTGGGAAGATAAGGACTATCCATGGCATGCATTGGAGAGTAGGGATGTTCAGGTTCGGGTTTTGACCATTTTCTTTACTTGGGCTGGTTTGAGGTTCTTACAGTCACTGCTTGATATCGTGTTGCAGTATAGACTGGTCTCCAGGGAGACTTTGTGGTATGGGGTTAGAATGGTGTTGAAAAGTGTTGTAGCTGCTGGGTGGATTATCGTGTTTGGGGTATTCTATGGAAGGATTTGGAGCCAAAGAAACCAGGATAGGCGATGGTCTGGTGAAGCAAATCAGAGGGTTCTGACTTTCCTTAAGGTGGCTGGAGTTTTCGTTTTACCTGAGTTACTGGCAGTTGCTCTGTTTATAATTCCATGGGTCAGGAATTTTCTTGAGAATACCAATTGGAGGATCTTTTACTTGTTATCATGGTGGTTCCAGAGTAGGAGTTTTGTGGGCCGCGGTCTAAGGGAAGGACTTGTTGACAATATCAAGTACAGTTTGTTCTGGATTTTGGTGTTGGCCACCAAATTTATTTTCAGTTATTTTCTTCAGATTAAACCCATGATTAAGCCATCACAAATGATGCTGGATCTCAAGGATGTCAAGTATGAATGGCATGAGTTTTTCAGTAACAGCAACAGGTTTGCAGTCGGATTGTTGTGGCTTCCTGTGGTTTTAATCTACTTAATGGACTTGCAGATTTGGTACTCTATCTATTCCTCGTTTGTAGGGGCGGCAGTGGGTCTGTTTGCTCATTTGGGTGAGATTCGAAACATTCCACAGTTGAGGTTAAGGTTTCAGTTCTTTGCTAGTGCAATCCAGTTTAATTTGATGCCGGAAGAGCAGCTGCTGAATGCTAGGGGAACATTGAAGAGCAAGTTCAAAGATTCCATTCATCGCTTAAAGTTGAGATATGGGCTTGGTAGGCCTTATAAGAAGCTGGAGTCAAACCAGGTCGAGGCAAACAAGTTTGCTCTAGTGTGGAATGAGATTATAATGATTTTCAGGGAAGAGGATATCATCTCTGATCGTGATCTTGAATTGTTAGAGTTGCCTCAGAATTCTTGGAATGTAAGGGTTATTCGCTGGCCATGTTTCCTCCTTTGCAATGAGTTGCTACTTGCCCTTGGTCAAGCGAAAGAGCTGGTAGATGCTCCTGACAAATGGCTTTGGTACAAAATAAGCAAGAACGAGTACAGGCGTTGTGCAGTTGTAGAAGCTTATGACAGTGTTAAGCACTTATTACTTGAGATCATCAAGGTTAACACTGAAGAGCATTCAATACTGACTGTTTTGTTCCAGGAAATTGATCACTCACTGCAGATTGAAAAATTCACCAAGACTTTCAAGATGACTACACTGCCTAATTTCCATGCCAAGTTGATAAAACTTGTTGATCTGTTGAAGAAACCAACCAAGGATGTGAACCAGATTGTGAATACACTGCAGGCTCTCTATGAGATTGCTGTACGGGATTTTTTCAAAGACAAGAGGAGTATCGAACAGCTGAAGGAGGATGGTCTAGTTCCTCGTGATCCTGCTGCCATGGCTGGGCATCTCTTTGAGAATGCTGTTGAGCTTCCGGATCCTGCCGATGAGACTTTCTATAGGAATGTTAGGCGTTTGCACACCATCCTTACCTCTAGAGATTCAATGCACAATGTTCCAACAAATCTAGAGGCGAGGCGTCGAATTGCCTTTTTCAGCAACTCATTGTTCATGAACATACCACACGCTCCCCAAGTAGAAAAGATGATGGCTTTTAGTGTCCTGACTCCATACTACAGTGAGGACGTAATATACAGCAGAGAACAACTTCGGACAGAGAATGAGGATGGTATTTCCACATTGTACTACTTGCAAACAATTTATGATGATGAATGGAAAAATTTTATGGAGAGGATGCGGCGAGAAGGAATGGTAAAAGATCATGAGATATGGACTACCAAGTTGAGAGATCTTAGGCTCTGGGCATCTTACAGAGGGCAGACACTTTCCCGCACTGTGAGAGGAATGATGTACTACTATCGTGCTCTTAAGATGCTTGCTTTTCTTGATTCTGCCTCAGAGATGGACATTAGAGAAGGTGCAAGGGAACTTGGTTCAATGCGAAGGGATGGTCGCCTGGATGGCTTGGGGTCTAAAAGGCTTCCTTCTACAAGGAGCTTGAGCAGAAATAGCAGCTCAGTAAGTTTGTTGTTTAAAGGGCATGAGTATGGGACAGCTATGATGAAATACACTTACGTGGTTGCCTGTCAGATATATGGTACTCAGAAGGCGAAGAAGGACCCACATGCAGATGAAATTTTGTACTTGATGCAAAATAATGATGCTCTTCGTGTAGCCTATGTGGACGAGGTAAATTCAGGAAGGGATATGAAGGAGTATTATTCTGTGCTTGTTAAGTATGATGCTCAGTTGGGGAGAGAAGTGGAAATCTATAGGGTGAAGCTGCCCGGGCCCTTGAAACTTGGAGAAGGGAAACCAGAGAATCAAAATCATGCTCTCATCTTTACCCGTGGCGATGCAGTGCAGACTATTGATATGAACCAGGATAGTTATTTTGAAGAGGCTCTCAAAATGCGAAATCTTTTGGAAGAATACAAGCAATACTATGGCATTAGGAAGCCTACTATCTTGGGGGTCAGAGAACACATTTTTACTGGTTCTGTATCGTCACTGGCTTGGTTTATGTCTGCACAGGAAACAAGTTTTGTTACTTTGGGGCAGCGTGTCTTGGCAAATCCTCTGAAAGTCAGAATGCACTATGGTCATCCAGATGTCTTTGACAGATTTTGGTTCTTGACTCGTGGTGGGCTCAGTAAAGCTTCCCGGGTGATTAACATTAGTGAGGACATATTTGCTGGATTTAATTGTACATTGCGAGGTGGGAATGTCACCCATCACGAATACATGCAGGTCGGAAAGGGAAGGGATGTTGGTCTTAATCAAATATCTATGTTTGAGGCTAAGGTTGCTAGTGGAAATGGTGAGCAGGTTCTTAGCAGAGATGTCTACAGGTTGGGACACCGGTTGGATTTCTTCAGGATGCTGTCGTTCTTCTATACTACTGTGGGATTCTTTTTTAACACCATGATGGTAATCCTGACTGTGTATGCATTCTTATGGGGCCGACTCTATCTGGCTCTCAGTGGTGTTGAGGGTTCTGCTTTGGCCAACAGCAGTAGCAATAAAGCGCTGGGTGCCATTTTGAATCAGCAGTTTATCATCCAACTGGGTATCTTTACTGCCCTTCCGATGATTGTGGAGAACTCTCTTGAACAAGGGTTTCTCCAAGCTATTTGGGATTTCTTTACTATGCAGCTCCAGCTTTCATCTGTGTTCTACTCATTCTCCATGGGAACTCGATCACATTACTTTGGCCGTACTATTCTCCATGGTGGAGCGAAGTACAGAGCAACTGGACGTGGATTTGTTGTGCAGCACAAGAGCTTTGCTGAGAATTACCGACTCTATGCTCGTAGCCATTTCATCAAGGCAATTGAATTGGGGTTGATCCTCACAATTTATGCTTCGCACAGTCCTGTTGCTAAGGATACATTTGTATACATAGCACTGACCATCTCCAGTTGGTTCTTGGTGGTGTCTTGGATAATGGCTCCATTCGTGTTCAATCCATCTGGGTTTGACTGGTTGAAGGCAGTGTACGACTTTGATGGTTTCATGAACTGGATTTGGTATAAAGGCGGTGTGTTTGCTAAAGCTGAACAAAGCTGGGAAAAATGGTGGTATGAGGAGCAAGATCATCTGAGAACTACTGGGCTTCTGGGGAAGTGTGTGGAGATTGTTTTGGACCTTCGGTTCTTCTTTTTCCAGTTTGGCATTGTCTACCAACTGGGGATTGCAGCTAACAGCACCAGTATTGCTGTATACTTGTTGTCTTGGATATATGTCTTTGTTGTTGTGGCTCTATATGTGCTAGTAGCTTATGCACATGAGAAGTATGCTGCCAAAGAACACATCTACTACCGGCTGGTCCAGTTTCTTGTCATTGTGCTTGCCGTGCTTGTGATAATTGGGCTGTTGGAATTCACATCTTTCAGATTTGTTGACCTCTTCACCAGCTTATTGGCTTTTATCCCCACTGGTTGGGGCATGCTTTTGATAGCCCAAGTATTTAGACCGATGTTGCAGTCCACCATTCTGTGGGAGTTGGTGGTTTCAGTATCTCGGCTATACGACATAATGTTTGGAGTGATTGTTATGACTCCAGTTGCATTCTTGTCATGGATGCCTGGATTCCAAGCCATGCAGACAAGGATACTGTTCAATGAAGCATTCAGTAGAGGTCTCCGAATTATGCAGATTGTCACCGGGAAGAAATCTATGATTTGAGGTAAAGCTACTAACTTCTCTGTGGCCAATGTCTTATTAACTAGTTGCCTGATATTTGCCTATATCACCGCAAGGCATATTACCAAATTGGCGAAGTAGGAGGCTCTATCTTCGTTTCTTCAACTGTCTCCCGACTTCCTTGGGAACTAGAGTAGAGAAAATGTGTATTCTAGCTTCTTACAATTCCTGCTATAACAACCTTATTACTGCAGTAGATTTAGATCTCAAGCTGATACTGTAGTTACTTGGTTATTACGAATAAACTCAAACTGAATGGATAAGCTCGCATGTCTGTTGCAGGCTGCAGTGAAGTGGGGGGAACGATGGTGGAGAGGTAGATTTGATTTTGATTCTTTGATGTGGAGCGTCTCTCTATATTTTAACATGTGAGTGCTCCATGTGTGTTGCTAGTGGTTTCAAGTATCTTTTTTGTAGCTGGCTGATTCCAGAGCTGATGTTGTTCATTCTGCTAATTTTTCCTACCAGGTTACTCCAGACAGCATTTTGAGGTACATAGTTTTTGCTTGCTTATTCATGCACTGAGAACTAGCCACTAGTGATTTGATTGATGGATTATGCAAGAGTCAGATTTGGAATGAGATCCAGTAGCTTGCCTTAGCTGGAAGACAAATACATCGAGCAGATTTTGGAAAGAGTTCAATTTGCTTCCATCTGGTAAATGGGTGATAGACTTTGAGGGGGAATTCTTTTGTTCAGTTGCGTTAATGTTGTTTTATTTATTCCAAGTCAAATAGTGAATGCAGCCTCCAGCTAGGGATCCAAATTCTTCTCTGCATTTTCTTCACCTTCAGCTCGTCTTCTGTCGTGCTCTAGTTTAGCAGTAGTGAGCATAATTTTTGTACTGGAAGCGAGGGGATTATGGTCAACCTCAAGTAGGAAAACATTTTTTGTACTTCTTTCACCGAATTTACTCCCATTTGGTCGAAGGTGGGACTCCCAGTCCTAGCTACCAAATTTACTTCAACTCCGACTGGAGAAGCGAAGGTCGATTGGTACGAGTTAGGTTAGCGCCATTTGACGGCTGTCAAATTAACAATTAACTAGCTTATACCCGTCCGTTGGTCGGAATATTTTGAGATATCTATTTCGATGATATATCTTGATTAGGGGTGTCCATTCGGGTTCGGTTTTTCGGGTTTACCCGAAACCGACCCGATTATATATTTTTTTGGTTTTTCGGGTTTGGGTTTGTTTCGGGTTTTGGGTTTTTAGGTTTCGGGTTCGGTTTTACTTATCGATTTTTCGGGTTCCTGCTAAAAACCTCCAATGAACAGAACTCAACTCGTATTCTTAGGCGTTCGGGTTTTCGGGTTTCGGTTTTGCTTTAACCGAACACGATAAGAAATTTTCGGGTTTCGGGTAACCGGAACCCGCAAGTCCTTATCGGTTTCGGATTCAGTTTTAGTGATTTTTGGTTTCGGGTTTTTGGTTTTCTCGGGTTTCAGTTCGGGTAACCGAACCCGACCCGAACTGACACCCCTAATCTTGATAAATAGTTAAATAGATTTTGTTTGGAACTAATAGTTGACTTTTTATAATCGAGATTGATATTATTAAAACATGATAAATAAAACTCAATTCTTAGTATTAAAGCAATCATATGAATTAATATATTGAGAGTTTAATTTGTATACCTTGAACCTTATTGATGAATGGTGTTCTCACTTATCATAATCAATTCCTTGATGAAAAGTTTTATACTTGATTGGGATTTTTTTTCTCAATTAATAGGTTTGTACATGATTCCCTTTGGAGTTTGGACAGATAACATGAAGAGTGAATACTTTGAAGTCAGGACATATAGACTGGAAATAAGAACAATGTAAACACCATATAGCAAGGAAGACAGAAGCTCTGGGGAGCTGTCAATTACTATTTTTGAAGAATAGCTTAGATAGAAGGAAAAAGGTTTGCTCTGCTAAATCCACAAATCCCCTCAAATGATACAAAGGTGAGAAAAACAATTCCAATGAATGAAAGCATGGAAGAAAACTAACTGAACTCGAATGAATTTATTTGGCTAAATATGGTTGCATTCACAATTACGCTAATCATTATTAACCACCATCACATGTAGGTGGAGTGTAATTAGTCTCCAAACTATGCAGCATTTTGTGTACTCTCACAATCCACGTCGAATTTTTTACCCCATTAATTATATAAATCCTTTACCCAACACATAAATTCCACTTTGAAACTCATATATCCCCTGAACGGTTTGACAGCTCGTTCACAAATTATCCAAATTAACTACAATTACACACATGCATGTCTCCATCCCCTTTTGGTTCCCTCGCTGCTTGCATATATAGCATCAACAACACTACATCTACATGGACCATACTTTTAGCTTTTTAGCGCTACACTTTCACCCACCTAAGTTGCTTACCCTTACAGTTCTCATAGCGGCAGCAGAAACATTAGGTATCACTGCAAGCACGCGACACAATTCAATAGACAACACATGAATCTGAGTAACATAAGATTAAGAGTTTGCCAGTTTGGTGAACCATGTTTATCAGCATAAACATACATTCAACCATTCTAAGTATTATGTATCATCACAAACGAACAAAAAAGGCATTGTATTATGTTCCATAACAACTCAATAGAGGAATGTATTTAGTCAAAATTTCCCGTTAACAAATGCAAACCGACAAAGAGGAACCTAGATTAAGGAGTCTAACAGTCGAGGGATTTCAATTATAAAACTATAGGTTAGATAGAATCATCAACCTCAAGGGAAAAGTCATTGTTGTATTAAGCCCCAAATCTTCTGAAACATACCAAAATGAGAGAAACAAATCACAAACTATGAAGCCCTGAAAATCTATCTGACATCCAATTACTTTATGGGGTTAAATTTGGTTTGTTTCATAAATATGTTATATTATTCATGGAATTGATTGATTCCTGTTGGTTGGTGTAATTAAGGAAACATAATCATCTCACAACAACCATCCCTTTTACTGGTTCTTCCTTCGGCTCTCCACTCTTTCACCTGTAAAGTAAAATTAGTGTTCACCTAGAATCATGGAGTTTTAATGTTTTTAATAAACACCCCATTTGAATTTTTTTTGGCATGCTACGTTCTCGCAAAAAAAAAAAAAAAAACTGAAATAGCCATATAAAGCTTGAAGTAGCAGCACAAAACCAAAATGAAAAATATAGTGACCAAAGTGATTATTAACACCAAACAAAAAACGAACAAAAGCAAGACATTACCAGAAACTCATTTTAATCTATCATACCGCAACACCATAGCAAACTGGCACCTAAGACATTAGCAAATAAATTATGTAATCCACCGGATTAGAATGAAAACGCAAACCATAAACCCAAACGCAATTGATGAGACTCAAATTACAGCAAACAACCAAAAAGAATGGAACAATTGTAGCAGGATAAAAAGACAGAGTGGAATGACCTCATCAAATTGGTTCAAGGGATAAGCCACCGGTAGCTGCAACCCCATAGAAAACCAGCATTATCCCTTGAACCTTTTGTCCTATCGATCCCTCTCCTTCCAACCTCCAAGGAACAACTTTGAGTCTTTGAGCTGCGTCATGAAAAGGATACTGTTGCTTGTACGTACGCGTTGACCTGTGAACTCACAATGGTAATCATAGACCAACTAACCAAGAGAGAAGCTTAGAGAGTGAGTCCATTATTTGGACAAACCTCATTTTAAAATGTGTATCTTTAATCCATCAACTCTAATCAATTAGTTCTCTTTTCTTTACCTGTGATTCTCGTCCATGACCAAAGAGCTCAAAGAAGGCAGCTCAAGCCTCAAAGGATACAAAACTACTAATGCTGCTCCAAAGAGAATAATAAAATGTAATGCGTGTTCATTTCTCTTACCACTCTTTGAAGAATAGGCTATAAGGATGAGCAAAAGCAGAATAAGTAAAGGCTCTAAAATGGGTTATTTGTTCTCCAACTTTAATTGTCAGATAGAACTCAAATCTGATATAGATCTTGAAATTGACATTGAAAAGACAAACAAAAAGAATCACCATTTTCATAAGCTATGATCTTCGATTTCCTCCTTTCATCAAGATGCAACACAGCAAGACTCTGTTAGCATATTTAAAAAAAACATGATGAATAAATACGGCATAAACGATTTTAGTTAGGTACTCATCTTCCCAATGATCAGGAAACCATAAGCCAAATTCCCATCTTGAGGCTGCTTTGAAACAGTCATAGTTCTGAGTTCTGACAGCTATCTCACCGTGGGAGGCCTCATCTACAACAAAACTTACCAGAAATTAGTTGCCAACAATCATGATAAGCCCTGGTGATTTTCATGGAATCTAACACTCCTTCATCACAACACGAATCTCCATTGCTGGTCCAATGGGTTCATCACCCACCACTACTAACAACTTCCTAAAAAGAGGCTAAATAATGTCATATGTGGAGGAAAATAGAGAGAACCCAAAGAAACTTAGCTAACAGCAGAGTAAACTGGCAAGAATAAAAGAATGGAAATCTACAAACTCAATCACAAAATAATTGGAGTGACCACTGCTTATAGGGCTTATGGTTCCTTTTCTATTTGTTTGATTTGGGTTCGTCGCCTCCACCATGAATCTCCAACGAAAATCTGTGTTGTTTGAACCTGAAGCACCCATTCTCCCCCTAAATGATATATGGGACAAAAAAGAGGAAGACCGTGAGATACTCTCTGTGAAGTAAACAAAAAAAAATCGAGATGACATACTTAAGGAATTCCTCGGGCCTAATTCGGATCCACAACTTCGTATTCTCTATTTCCTTGGAAAGATCCATATTCTTCATCCACAATCAGCAAGCCTTACAGCCACAAAGAGAGTCCTTCCCCAGGAGAATACTTGGTATGCATCACCTGATCGCTACTGTCAGATCCCCGTGGAATCCAATGAATCAGAATGAAAACTTAAATCAAAACCTAAGTAAACAGAGAGATAAACACATGTGTTTCTAACTTTCTATAGTTCAAAACTTTTCTCACCATCGAAGAGAAGAATTTGACAATCCGCCAATCACCATGGGACGAACACCTTTATGGTGTCTCTTCTCTCCTCTTCTTCCTTATTACTTCCAATGCCACATTGCCCACTTCTTCTTCCCCTAAACCGCAGCGCCACCATTCTCAATCTTCCGCTTACCCCGATTCCACCGCCGCTGGACAAAAGTAAGTTCAACTCCGTCCTTGTCTCCCTCCTCGACTCCCACTACACCGAGCTCGGTGACCTTGTCGAGAAAGCACTCCCCACGCTCTAGAGTAATCCGTCGGCAACCACACATAACCACCCCACACTATGGAGCCCTCGAGCGTCGCCTCGACTCCGAGTTCAAGCGCTTCCTCCTAAAGCCTCGCAACCTCCACTCCCTCCGCAGAACAACCTTCGTTGGCAGTGACGGAAGATGATTTCAGCCGCAAAAAAAGTAGTGGGAACCGACGGTTTCTTATCTCTCCTGTCACGCAGGGATTTCTAATTTAATCCCGTGTAACCACCCTGCCACGCAAGGTTGTCAAACCGGTTTATGCCGGTGTGCCGGTTTTCTAAGTGGAATGGTCTGAACGTGGTACAACCAATATTCATGCCGGTTGTGCCGGTTTTAATAAAATACATGAGGAAAATGGAAATCCTCAATTCCAAATAAATTAGTCATAAAAAAGCAATTAGAAGAATTATTTCACACAAAATAATTTATAGCTAAGAATTGGTAACTAATACTACACAATTAGATGCTTAAAAATAAAATTTTATTCAATAAATTTTATTAATGTTTATAATGATTTGTGTAAAATTTAGTATTAGATATATAACATATAAGGTTAATAAAGACAAAAAAATTGCTTGTAGCCTACTGGTGTATAAGTTAAACTAAAATGTACAAGAGGTCCTTGGTTCAAATCCTATGAAAGATGTTTATTTTTGGATATAATATGGGTAACATAAAATTCCGGTTTCTGGTCTAACCGGCCGGAATTTTCGGATTTGACCGGATTTGACCACAGTTAAATACCGGCCCCTTTCCAGCCGGTTTGCTGATCGGTACCGGTTGAACCGGCCGGCATGAAACCGGTTTGACAACCATGCTGCCACGTCAGACTCCTAAAATCACTCTATGCGCAGGAAAATTTGAATGGGGTTGCAGTTTTACTTTTCAGCTATAAATTATACTGTTGACTCATTGGATTTGAGTAGAGCTGTCAAAATGTAACCCGATCCGAGTAAATCGCCCGGTCAACCCGACCCGCAACCCGTCCGCAATCTGATTTGACTAAAAGTCAATGACCCGCAACCCGACCAACCCGCAACCCAACCAACCCGCAACCTGATCGACATGCAATCCGACCAACCCTCAACCCGATTAACCCGCAAATCCGACCTACCCGCAACCCAACTAACCCGAACTTGTAACAAAACCAACAACCAGCCCGACTATAATAGAAGGAATTCGATGAAGATAAACCAAAAGTTGACGTTTGAAATACTAGTTCACTAAAGTCTGATCATTACATCATCAATTATTAACTTAGTATAATAATATAAATCATCAACCTATTAACGCATATAATATGATCAAATATTGATTTAGATACATCATCAACCTAATAGTGCACATTAAATCATTTGGGGTTCACGGTATAGACTATTTAGTGTTTAGATTATATGTTATTGAGTAAAGGGTTACAATTGAACTCACAACAATTTTTCTAAATTTTATAATTTAGTTTAATACAAAAATCATATAAACAATTAACTAGCTAAATCAACAATTTCTCTATACATTTATATGAACAATTTCACTTGTTTTTAAAAAATTAAAAACTATTTTTAAACTTTTCTCTCCAAATTTTGGGTTCCCCTCAATAATACTGCCCAAAAATTTGATTCCCCCTTTCCCATAAAAAAAATTCCCATGAAAAAAATTTGATTCCCACCATCCGCCGAGACTCGCCAATAAATCCCCCTTAAGGTTTCCCCAAAATTTTGTTTCCCCCACCTTTGAGTCTTTGACTTTGAGTAGTGATTCCTTTTTTTTTACAAGTATTGTGCTAGCTTCATGTAGTTACGATTTACGACTTACTAGTAATCACTAAAAAGTAACGCGATGTGCTGGTCCGTAAAACCCGCAACCCGATTGACCCGCACCTGATTGACCCGTAACCTGATTGGCCCGCAACCCGATTGACCCGTAACCCGATTGACCCGCAACCCGAGTGACCCGTAACTGGAGTAACCCCGCAACCCGATGAACCCGAACCCACAACCCGATCGACTCGCAATCTGACCAACCTGCAACCCGAATGAACCCAGCCCGAACCCGCCCGATTGACACCTCTAGATTTGAGTGATAGAGGGGAAAGTTAAGAAAAAAAAACTAAATAAATGTAATGTCTCATAATAGAGCGTGTTTAGTGAATCCACAAAAAAATGCACCAGATTAGGTTTCATTTATCTCTTTATTTTTTTTATTTTTTTTACAAAAGATAATATTGTATTGATTAGAAATAGATCGAAATTACACCCTGGTATGCAACCAGGTAAGAAAATTAAAAGAATGAGACATAGGTGGGGCAAAGAAATGACTCTTCTAGCCACCAAGTGGGCTACTATATTGTTATTTCGTCGTACAAATCGTACATTAAGTCCATCATAAGTTGTCAACAAACAAAGCACTTCCTCTAGAATGGCTCCAGATAGGGGTGGGCAACGGGACGGGATACCCGTCCCATTTGAAACGGGTACCCAATATCGTTTGAAGAGCAAAGTTCATCCCATGTCCCAAACCCATTTGGAAAACGGGTACCCATTACCCGTACGAGACGGATAACAGGTACCCATACTACCCGTAAATACCCAAAGTTTGAATCACTAAAACTTTAACAAAAATCTAAACATAACTGTCTCTGTTTAACAATCACAAAATCCATATGAATTACAAAATCCATTCCAATCACACCATTACAAATACTCGGTTTACAATCTGCTTAACAACTAATTAAGAAATAAAGCATACAAATAAAGCATTCTAAGCATTCCAACTGGCAAGCTACTGGCTGTTTTGCAATCCGCCTTCCACTTATCCCCTTGGAGAGACATTCCTAGAGGTGATATTGGTCATTCTCCTGCCACCTGTTGGTGTCTTTCTTCGATAATTTGCAACCTGCAAAAATATATAAGGGGAAAGCTCAATGCTGGCCGTTGCACCTGTTCAACCAAACTGTCCCGTGTCCATAAATTTGTCATTATCTTTGCCAATCAACTAGGTATAACAATTATATATGTGTCCGAGCCTCCCATGTAATTGGTGCGATAAAAGCAATTATGTAAGAATAGCAGCACAACAAATAAGACGCTACTCATTACCTTGAAATGATCAGAAGTTCACGGCTGGGTGGAATGACCAAAGTGCGACGACCGACGTCGATGGAGGCTGAGGCTGTTTGGCTGTCGGCTGGGCTACGGCGAGTCGGCGACGGGGAATCGCAGCAGAGTAGTCTCCGAACAGAGCAGGCTGGCTGGGCTACGGAGATTCAGATTGCCGCGACGTTTGGAGAGTTGAGCTGCTGGCTGCGCGGATTCGACTGTCAAGGACAGAGGTCAGACTCTGAGAGGACTAGAGGAGATGATGAATCGAGGAGAGTTGAGTTGTTGGCTGCGCGGTGCGCCTGCCTGTCGAGTGTCGAGGAGAGCTGTCGACAAGGGAATTAGGGGAAAGGCCGAAAGGGTTCTGAGAAACTTGGCTGTGGCTGGGCTGGGTACGGATGGCAATTTTGACCTGACCCGTGTTACCCGACCTGTTTGACCTGTTTCGGGGCAGGTCCGACCCGCCCCGTAGGCGGGGCGGGGCGGGCATGGGTAGTCTCATCGACCCGACCTGTCCTGACCCGCCCCATTCTCGACCCGTTCTTGTCTAATTTACATGTAATCTTAGTCAAATTACTTAGGATTTTCCTTTTATTGCATCATATTTTAGCTATAAGAAAGTTGTAAATTAGTCTAAACCTCAATTTCTGCAATAATATAACTGCAATTGTCATAATATTGTTTGTTTTCTTAGTCTCATAATAAAAATAACGAATATTTCTAATGTTTTTAATATAAATTGCATACCCATTGGGTCGACCTGCCCCGACCCGCGACCCGTGATCAATTACCCGACTTGGACCCGACCTGCCACGGGGCGGGTCTGGGTACCAAGAAACCCGCCCCGGACCTGCCCCATTGCCATTCCTAGGGCTGGGACTGAAGGGAGTTGAGAAATGGGCTATATGCATCTGTATAATGAATGGGTATAATGGGTACCCATATTACCCAAATGGGTATTTGCGGGTAACCCACGGGTAGCCAATGTAGGAATATACAATCCCAAGTATCATCCGTTAAAAATATTACGGGTAATATGAGTACCCGTAACCCTAAAAAAATGGGAGGGTACGGGTATACCCAAATATCCTTTTCTCGTTGCCCACCCCTAGTTATAGATCAGTCATTTTGTGCATCGGCCTGATTTATCTTATAAATGACCACCTTTGCATCCCCTTCGAAAAGAACCCGCAAGAGACCACAATCCAAACACCACTGGATGATCTCGCGGAGGACTAGTAATTCCACTATGGGTGGATTATCAATATGTACTCTCCTTGCCAAGACAATCCACTGTTTGCTGGTAAACCAATTCTTTTATGGATTTGCTGATGATATTGCCTCATCAAAGTTATCACCTGAAATTGTTTACCTTCAAATACAACCCAATTTATGGATTCTATTTATTTCTCTTTTGACTCGAATTTACTTTGTAATTTTAAATTTTTGATAGATTATGTACCATTCGTTTTACCTTGAAATTCATATATTTTTCATATATTCAAATTATCTATATAGTCAAATTCATTTCATATATTATCTAGAAAAAGAAATATTAGAGCATCCCCACCTTCGAAAAATACACTATCATGTCCCTACTTAACACACTTTCATTTTGGAGTTGTTAATTGTCGCCCTAATTTACAAATTATTATTGCCCGTTTACCCTTTTTTATTGTTAAAGAATATATATTATTATAACAAACACAAACAATTTGACTTTAACCACTTTTTATTCCCACCATTGTCGAATATTGATACTGGTCCCGCTGGCCACCACCATGTCAATCGAACGAGGGTAACTTGACTGGGGAAAATGCAATCGTGCCCGACCGTTCCACTATTCGGGCAACCCGCTTCCTATTGGATTAGGATGCACAAACAAAATAAAATAAAATAATCAAACTCAATAAACAAAGAAACATTTGCAGTTGCGGGGGATGGAGGGAGCTTCTTTCAATTGTGGACTTGTAGTGCTCTGTGCTCCTTAAGGATGGAAATAACCTGGCGTAATCAGAGTAAAGGGTTTGGGAGAATATGGGAGTTGGGTACTAGGAATTGGTTTGGAGGTTATTACCCTCCATGGTCTCCTTCTACGGCTGGATGGATGGTGCCGCTAGGAATCAGGGAGAAGGGTGAGAAGCAACAGCGAGGAGAAGAAATGGCGACAGAAGGTGTTCGGAGAGAGAGGAGGTTGGCATTGTTGAAGGAAATTAGGGAGTTTAGAGTTTAAATGTTTTGTTGAATTAGGTTTAATTAATGAAGGACAATTTAGTAATGTTGTATTATAAGTTAGGACGATAATAGTAAAACAATGGCGACATTTAGCCGTTCAGTTTCATTTACATTCCGTTAACAACATTCAACCTTAAACCTTCAATTGATACTATAAAAAAACCTTTCAATTGATGAGTCAATCTAGTTGGCATCCAAACCTTCTAATGATCGTGCTAGCAAGCTCACACCATGTTGCAGGAGCGCTAACACAATATGCTCATCTCTCCCCACTTCTCAATGAATCCAAGGTTAGAAAAAGATTTTCCCACAACTTGTACCACATCTCACTGTTTACTGTTGTTTGGGATGGGTTATTTCTGTGTTCAATCTCCGAATTTCTTGACTACTTTTGAAGAGATGAAGAATGCGATGGCGACGTATTTTCGGCGATGACTGCTTCCGACGAAATCCGCATCCTCCCTTCCCATCTTCTTCGACAAGACACGCCCTTCCAAGTTGAATGCTTTTCCTAGTTTCTTCAATTGATGGCAGCAGGAACACGAGGAGCACCAAGTATGGGTTCGTTTGATAAAACAACGAAGAAGATGGTGAATAAAGAGAGGGCAGTATAGAAATTTGACTTCTCTTGTTAAAACCCCCTATCTCATTCCAAACGAGTTATTTGCTACAAATCCTTAAAATAAATTTCCTGGGATTTTAAACACAGGATTTTAATCCAAATCTCTCACAAATCTCTCGTATGAAAATTCTGCATCCAAACGATCCCTAGGTGAAAATCTCTAACGTCTTAATATAAGTGATTTTTTCTAAAATAAAACCTATATATAAAAAAATACAAAAGTTAATCTTGTATTGATTGAAAGAAGACATATTGTCGTTGACTGGAAGTCACAGGTATATGGGTTTATACACATTTAACTGTTTTAAACATGGTTGTAACCTTTCTTTTCCCAAATGGTATTAGGGTTATACCGTATCGAGAGCATGCTATATATACCTTCTTAATCTATGTGATATGTATCTCCTTAAGTATATGAAATTGGTCTCTCTTATCCGTGGATTAGCTAACATATATCGTGTTAGTGAACCACGTAAATTTGTGTATTATTTACTTTCTTGCATTGTTGATTTCCCAATTGGTTCTAATAAGTGGTATTAGAGTTGCGGTTGGCAAATAGGGTTTTTGAAATTCAAGAATGCCTTCAGTGAATATGAAGATTGAAAAGTTCACAGGAAAGAACAATTTCAGTATATGCAGATCAAGATGCAAGCACTATTGAATCAACAAGGGCTATGGGGGCTTCTAACCGCGAAACCAAAGAAGATAGGAGTTGATGATGAAGAGTGGAATACCCTGGAGCAAAGCAGTTAAAATCGGGATTTTACCTAAAATCGAAAACTGGGGTAAAATCGGAATCGTAAAATCGAATCGTAGAATCGTAGGATTTTAAGTACCATATAGAAATTAACATATAATAATATTAATAAGGTAAATAATTAATAGCACAAAGACTTATAACATTTAAAGTGATAATTTTCAAGATTAATGTTCCAAAATCATCATTTTAATTGTTATTTAATGCGTAATTCAAAATAATTTATGAGGAAGGGATAGAGCTCATGGGGTTTGGCTCTTGTTTGTCATGTTGTGTCTAGGTAGTTTAACTCAAAGTAGTATTCAGACATCGTCTACTAAGCATGATTTAACACTATGAATAACTGAAATCCAATAAAACAATTAATGTCATTGGTTTGGTACGAATATATTCATTAATTAAATAATTTGTTAATAATGATGTTAATTCTTACGCACTTACAATATTTTGACAATTGTTTTACCGATGAGTTAAACAAGGAGAAGGGAAAGGGGTTGACCGAACCCTAATTAGTTTTTCTTCTTCTTTTCAAATGTTCTTTTAATAGAAAAAAATATGAGAAGATCCCCGTCATTGCCCTTTCCACCGAAATAATTCTGCTTCTTTTGAATTGGCTCAAGCTCCCTATTTAGTTCACATAGGATCAAAATCCCAATTTTGGTACGATTCTACGATTTTAACGATTTTAATCCCGATTCTGAACGATTTTAAGGTCCAGCGATTTTAAAGTAAAATCAGGATCGGAATCCCTAAGTAAAATCCTAAAATCCTACGATTTTACGATCAAAATCCCGATTTTGACTGCATTGCCCTGGAGGAGAAGGCCCACTCGAAAATCACGCTTTCGATGTATGATGATCTCATCATTGAATTTAATGTAGAGAAAAGTGCCATTGGACCGTGGTTGAAGCTGGGAAGTTTGCACATGACGAAGTCTTTAACCAACAAGTTGCATCTGAAGCAATGTCTTTTAGTCTGCATATGTAGGAACGAATGCTACATAGGGATCATCTTGAACAAATTAACATCTAGTTAGATCTTTATAATATAGATGTTAAAGTAGATTGAAGATGCTACCCTAATTTTGATGGTATTTTTGCCGATCTCATTGATTCTTTATTGGTGGGAAAGAATGGTTGTCTCTGAAAGATGTTCGATTTGCTCTTCATACTAGATAGATTAGATATAAGGCATTCGAATCTGGTATAGAAGGTCAAGCCTCTGGGTGGAAGCTAAAGGTGGTAAGGGACATAAGAAATTTGGCAAAAGAGAGTTCAAACACAAATTCAAATTCCAAAGGTCATGGTCCACATCCAAATGATGCATGTCGTGACTGTAAAAAAAGGGCATTGGAAATACAGTTGTCCCAAGAAAAGGGAGCATGAGAAGAAACTCGGATCTCCTTCCGAAGTAGAAACTTACACTAGTTCTAAAGAAGATCTCGCCTTATTTGTTGATGAAAAGTCACATCGTAAAGATGTGTGATTTCTTGTTACTGCAACATCTTACCATATGTCTTCGAATATGGATTGTTTTTCAACCTACAAGTCGATAGATGGATGAAACATAGGGGTCGTTTGCTTTAAGGATTTGCATCATGGATTTGGTACCAAAAAACCAACTATTAAGGATTTAAGTACAATCCTTTGTTTGCTTGGTCCAAAAATGTTGAAACAAATCTGTGGGCCCCACAGATTTAGGTTTTTTTTTCACTCCAAATCCGTGGGCCCACAACTTTACAAATCCCACATGATTATTAGGGAATTGGTGATGGGCTGAAAAACCAAGAGGCCAAATGACACTCGTATCCTCATTCTTTTTTATTAAACCAAAATTGCCTTCTTCACATCCACCATATCTGCCGCTTCCTATTCCTTCTCACCAAACCGGGAAACCTGTCGAAGAGTACTTCCCTTCCTGGAAAATTGCAGCCGACATCAAACTCTGACTGCATCAAGCTCCGACGGCGTCAACCTCCAACGGGAGCCAGAGAGAGAGAGAGAGAGAGAGAGAGAGAGAGAGAGAGAGAAATAGAGCGCTGAACGTCGATGATAAAGATG